GGCGGTTGACATTCGAGCGGATTCATGTCTAAGTGAGCAATTTCTCCAGACAGCTGCCTCCTCTCTCTGCAGCACGAGGAAGCCGCCTTTGAGAGCAGCGGCTTGGGCAAAGGAGCCTTTTCATCATCTGTGTCAAAAGTAGGCTGTTGTGTTTAAGGGCCTGTATGCCCTTCCTGTCCCCTGGTCTCCATCCTGTTCTCTCCTGTGCTCCCGCGACATTGGGGACCACTTTATTCTGAACCCTGTTTTACTTCCTGTTGCCGTTCTGCCCATCCTTACCCCTCGAGTGGCAATCCTCATGCGTAAACCTCCCAAATTTCCTCATCCGGGACAAAGCACACAGTTGGGGAACCAACCCCCTACCGTCAAGTAAATTGGGGGAAAATGTAATGCGGCTGATGAAAACATAAATCAATTAGAGTAATCCAGTCGGCTCCATAATCTGTACTTACAGGCTAAACATCTTGAATGTAATAATGTACTTATTAAAGATCCATTTAACTATGGAGTTATAATTACACCTTTAGAAAACTCTGTCAGCTCCTTGCCACTCTGGGTTTTTCCGAGGCACTCCTAATGTCTTGTAATTATTTTAATGTGGTATAATTTCAGAATAATTTTTTTTTCATTTTTAAAAAGATGTGATTATGAAACTGCTTTTTGGCTCTGGTGGTGCATTTTTCTTCAAGCAGCTAGTGATACCGATTTTATACTTGGGAAGACGTGTGTGGGGGCGCCGGGGTGGCTCAGTTGGATAGCATCTGACTTTGGCTCAGGTCATGATCTCACGCTTCGTGGGTTCGAGCCCTATGTCGGGCTCTGTGCTGACGGCTCAGAGCCTGGATCCTGCTTTGGATTCTGTGTCTCATGCTCTCTCTCTCTGCCCCTCTCCTGCTTGTACTCTCTCTCTCTCTCTCAAAAATAAATAAACATTATGGGGCGCCTGGGTGGCTTAGTCGGTTAAGCGTCCGACTTTCGCTTAGGTCATGATCTCGCGGTTCGTGGGTTCGAGCCCCGCGTCGGGCTCTGTGCTGACTGCCAGCTCAGAGCCTGGAGCCTGTTTCAGTCTGTGACTCCCTCTCTCTCTGACCCTCCCCTGCTCACGCTGTCTCTCTCTCTCTCTCCTAGAAATAAATAAAATATTTAAAAAAAAATAAAATAAAATAAACATTAAACATTAAAAAAAAAAATGTGTGTGAATGAACTGAATCAAATGCCCTGATCCTCAAATTATTTAACATTATTATTGGGTGTCAACTCTGAGAGCAAATCTTAGTACCAATCCTGAATAACTTCTATCTTGATTTTTTTTTTTTTTTAAGGGATTCAGCATATAGTCTCTTTCCTTTATCAAACCCTACATAGAAGATGTTTCAGGATGGCCAAATTTGGAGGAGTCTCCAGTTGGGTACTTTAAAATTTTTAATCTTTTGTGCCTTAGACTAGAGAATTAAAAGAAAAGTAGAACTTCTCCCAACCAAGGGCAAGTACCAAGATAGACTCAAGCTCATGCAGGTATTTTCAGTGGTGTGAAGGTCCCCAAAGCCTGTTGGGATCCACAGATTCTGGGACGGGATTGTTATTGAGAGAGAATTCCATTTTGGCCACAGTTGTGTGTTGAGGGAGGAACTGGCAGATAATTCTGGGCAGGTCACTCAGAAGGAGGTCCCGGAGGCCAAGATGGAAAGGCAGAACTTTCTACTGTAAGTTGTGGGAAGCCACTGAAAGCTTCTGGGAAAAGCAGGCTTCTGGAAGAGTAATCTGACTATAGTGTAAAATATAGGGTGAGGCGCCTAGGTGGCTCAGTCAGTTAAGCATCTGACTTCAGCTCAGGTCATGATCTTGTCGTTCGTGAGTTTGAGCCCCGCATTGGGCTCACTGCTGTCATACAGTATGTGCTTCAGATCCTGTGTCCCCTTCTCTCTCTGCCCCTTCCTCACTTGTGCTCTCTCTCTCAAAAATAAACATTAAAAGAAATTTTTTTAAGTATAGGTTTGAAGGCTAGAGACTGGGGCTGGGAATGTAGGTTTGGAGTCTTGCCAAACACAGACAAGCAACACTCATTAGAAACAAAGGAAGCAGGGACAAGGTGATGGATGTGAAAGAGAAAGTAGTCTTGTGAAAATCAGATCACTGGACTGTCTTTACTTTGCTTCTTCCCCCCCCCCCCCCACCCCATATAGCAACTCTGCTACTGAGCATTCTTGAAACTGCACTCAAGCAGCAGATGCCATTTAAAGAGAATGATTTCTGGGGCACCTGGGTGGCTCAGTCGGTTAAGCGTCCGACTTCGGCTCAGGGCATGATCTCATGGTTTGTGAGTTCAAGCCCTGCGTTGGGCTCTGCTGACAGCTCAGAGCCTGGAGCCTGCTTCCGATTCTGCATCTCCCGCTCTCTCTCTGCCCCTCCCTGCCTCATGCTCTGTCTCTTTAAAAAATAAACATTAAAAAAACAAAAGGAGCTGCCATGCAGTTGACCATGGAGTCAGAGGTTTAAGGGCCATCAGCATGCACTATGTCCACATGGTTGCTGCCCTCAACACCAAACCTGGGCCTTCCCTGTGTTCTCTGTGGCCATCAGTGAAGGGTGTCTCTCCACTGGCATGAATCTGGCCATTAGGAATGATCTGCCTCCGGCCCTTCCACTGGGTCCTGTTGGGTTTGCTCCCAGATATCTCCCAGGTCCATCTACTTCTCTTCAGTCTTGCTGTGAGGAGCCTTTGCCAACCTGTGCTCTCTGTCACCAGTCACACCTCCTGGCACATGGTGGAGGTGCCCTGTATATTTAAAAAAATTTTTTTTCTCCCTCTCTCTCTGACCCTCCCCTGCTCACGCGATCTCTCTCTCTCTCTCTCAGAAATAAATAAAACATTTAAAAAAAATTTTTTTTTAATTTTTTTTTTTATGTTTTATTTATTTCTAGGAGAGAGAGACAGCGTGAGCAGGGGAGGGTCAGAGAGAGAGGGAAATACAGAATATGAAGCAGGCTCCGGGCTCTGAGCTAGCTGTCAGCACAGAGCCTGAGGTGGGGCTTGAACCCACAAACCATGAGGTCATGACCTGAGCTGATGTTGGACACTTAACCAACTGAGCTACACGGCAGCCGTGATATTTCTTGAATGAGTGAGTCTCTTGAGTTAAAACCATTTCCGGTGGCAACAGGAAGACTACAGGCTGTGAGATGGAGCTTCTGGGGAAGCCTCTGTTGCCCAAGTCTGGGTGTTTTTTCTAAAGATGGCACTAGAGCCCAACAGAGTGGTTTTGGGTCAGGGCCGTGGCTCTAGAGGTAACCTGATGTTCTAGAACAGAGAGTGTCTCTCACCCTCTTGATGTTGCCAGGGGGATTATTTTTTTCTAATTCCTTCTGTCTTAGAAAGTCATATCTGGGTATATTTCCCTCACTGGGGTATGTAAATTCTCATGTAACTTGGAAAAGAGTTGGTTCTTCACAAGTGATGAAAGAGGTCAGGGTGATTGTGACCTCTAAGGAAGGTGTCCCCAAGGCATTATGAGTTTGAAGGTCTTCATGTCCTCACATGTGAAGGTACTGGGATTAATCCGGATGTCCCCTGATGTCGTTCTCAGATCCCAATTTCTTTTTATTATTTATTTATTTATTTATTTTTACATATAGTTTATTGTCAAGTTGGTTTTCATGTAACACCCAGTGCTCATCCCAACAAGTGCCCTCCTCCATGCCCATCACCCCTCTTCCTATCTCCCCGCCCCCCATCTGCCCTCAGTTTGTTCTCAGCATTCAAGAGTCTCTCATGGTTTGCCTCCCTCCCTCTCCCCAACTATTTTTCCCCTTCCCCTCCCCCATGGTCCTCCATTAAGTTTCTCCTGTTCCACTTATGAGTGAAAACATATGGGATCTGTCCTTCTCTGCCTGACTTATTTCGCTCAGCATAACACCGTTGAGTTCCATCCACGTTGCTACACATGGCCAGATTTCATTCTTTCTCATTGCCATGGAGTATTCCATTGTATAGATAAACCACATCTTCTGGATCCATTCGTCAGTTGATGGACACTTAGGCTCTTTCCATGTTTTGGCTATTGTTGAGAGCTCTGCTATGAACATTGGGGTACATGTGCCCCTATGCATCAGCACTCCTATATTTCTTGAGTAAACTCCCTCCTGGGTCTTAGGGGAGTTCTATTGTTAGTTTTTGAGGAACCTCCACACTGTTTTCCAGAGGGGCTGCACCAGTTTACATTCCCACCACCAGTGTAGGAAGGTGCCCATTTATCCACATCCTCGCCAGCATCTACAGTCTCCTGATTTGTTCATTTTAGCCACTCTGACCAGTGTAAGCTGGTATCTCAGTGTGGTTTTGATTTGTATCAGATCCCAATTTGTAAGAATATTATTATTAAAGCAAAATACCTAGAGGAACTAGAGCAGTTGTAAAGTCTACTGAAGGGCGAGTGATCCTACAATCAGTCCGTCTAAGGTGGAGACACTCACTCAACAGATTCCAGTGCTGCTTTGGTTCTGGGCAAAAGCAGGAAGGAGAGTCGTGGGCGGTGGAGGCATTGGCGTTGAAACAGACGTTGACTGATGTTTTCTCCCTCCCCTTTTCTCAGCGGAAAGTGTTATGGTGATGACATCTGCCAAATCTTATCTGGGACCTTGCTGGACCAGTAGACTGTCACTTGACTCTTTCAAATACCCTCTTCCTGTGTCCTCAGGGAATCCTGATGTGTCCAGAGCGTTTGTTTCTCTTCCTCATCATTGTCCTCTTCTTCTGGTCTAAGTTGAGGTTGGGTAAATTTGGGGGTGCCCCAGATCCTCAGGGTTTTGGCGGACCATCCCCAGCCTTTAGAACACGTCGGTGTGACTTCCATTCGACAAGGCAGAAAAGAGAAACGTAACGTCAGCCATGTGGCTTCTGTTATCTGTAACCATGGAAAACGCTGGCCATCTGTGGGATCCCATTTTAACACTATTTTTCCCCCTCTCTCTCTCTGTTTCCATCTCTTTCTCGGGAAAAACAGCTGAGGAAGTGGAGAGACTGGCGGCCATGCGTTCGGACTCCCTCGTCCCAGGTACGCACACCCCACCCATCCGGAGGAGAAGTAAGTTTGCCAACCTGGGGAGGATTTTCAAGCCTTGGAAGTGGAGGAAGAAGAAAAGCGAAAAGTTCAAACACACATCTGCAGGTAAGATGATTTTTTTCCCCCTCCTTCATTTCGCCTTGGGAGTTTGTTGACTTCCACTCGGTGTGTTAATTCGTCGAATTTAATGATTGTGAGCTGCCTGAACCAAAGGAAAGAAAACTAAGCCTTAGAATTGCTCCTGCGTTTAATAATTCTTCAGTGCGATTGAAAATGGCTTTTGGATCCTGGGTGTTTTCTTGTGTCTCGGGATTTTTGTTGTTGTTTTTTAATCTGCCTCTTGTAGTTGATCTCTACACATGAGCTTAGAACTCCACCTTTTCTGCAACTGAATGCTTTCTTTCCACCCTTGAGAATCCGTTTCATACTATTCACCTCCCCTGTAAAAAAACAAAACAAAACAAAACAAAAAAAAAAAAGAAAACCCAACACACAGCAGAAAAGAAGTTACATATGGGCTTTGGCAGATGAGAATAGGTTATGCCAATGGCGGAGAAATCTTGAATGATTATTGGACATGGCAGGAAAACACAAGAGAGTGGAGACAGTATCACGGTATGGCAGAGACAGCTGGTACAGTTCATCACTTCCTGGACAGCAAAGGGATTGGAGAAAAGTCAGCACAGCTGAGGAGTAAAGAGCACAGACCCTGGGATCAGACTGTGCGGGTTCAAGCCCTGGCTCTGGTTCGTGGTAGTTATATGACATTGCCCAGTTTATTTAACTCTGTACCTCAGTTTTCCCATCTGTAAAATAGGGCTAAGAATAGTACTTTACATTTATGTGGCATGCTGTGTGGATATATTTTAAATGAGTAGGGGTGTGCAGAGGGAAGTGTCTGTGGAAAGAGGTCTGATTTCACCCTGTTGGATTTGAGAGAAGAGGATGGAATAGCTAAGCAGATGCTTTTTTGTTTGTTTTGTTTGGATTTTGCTCATTAAATGCCCGGGTCACTCCAGGCCTACACTCCAGGGCTTTCATTTCCTCCTTCCTGTCCATCCTCAAAAACTCAACCTACCCTCTCCCCTCCTCAGAATCATCACCTCCTCTCCCCCTGCACCTCACCACCCCCAGACTAACCAGGAAGTAGGAGAGGGGGTGCTTGTTGTACTTGAACTTGAGTCCACAGATCTGGGAATTTTTATACTCATTGTTTTGGGGAACCGAAAGAGAATAGCAGACAAAGGAAAGTTGCAAACAGTCTTGAAATCTTTTTGCCTTTTAAAATGTTTGTTTATATTTGAGGAAGAGCAAGCGCCAGTGGGGGAGGGGCAGAGAGGGAGAGGATGGAGGATCCGGAGCGGGCTGTGTGCTGACAGTAGAGAGCCCCACTGATGCGGGGCTTGAACTCACGAACCGTGAGATCATGACCTGAGCCAAAGTTGGACGCTTAACCAACTGAACCACCCAGGCGCTTCTAAAAGACTTGAAATCTTACACGGTTCTCATGGACATCTCCAGTCCGTGTTTTCTGACTCTTCCTTTGATGAAAGCCCCAATGCCCTGTTGCTAGAATAAGTTAATTCTTGAGATTAGAACGAACCTCTGAATTCCACGAATCTCTAAACTGTCATCCCTGGGATGGAGCCCCTTCACCTCACTGCGTTCTGCATCCTCACAGTCATTGTTCAGCTGTAACAAAACCTAAAGGCCTTTCGTGCATTTCTGAACACTACAGAGAGACTGACATGCAAGCAAACCCTCAGTGCGTGTGTCTCCTCTGTATCCACCCACCTGGGGTGAAACTGGATCATTGCCTCTGAGAGGAGAAATCTTAAATATATCCTTTGGGCAAAGTGATGTGTAAGATGCTTGAACCCGAAAGAAGAAGGGAGTGTTCTGTAAGCACTGGGAAAGAAAAAAAACAAAAAAAACAAAGTTTCCATGAGATTCCCTTATGATGGTCTTCCTGACTTTGCTGTGGAAAATGGCTTCTAATAAAACAAACGTGCATTTAACTAATGGCCATTCATCAGCACGAATCCCCGGATGATGGGGTTGGCCCATGCCTTCCCTCCCGGCCAGTCGAGAGCTTTGGTTTGTCCATTTGGCAAGGCCTAAAGGTAAAGCTTGGATGCTTCTCGAGTGCAGGGAGCAGGTGTGCTGCCTTCTTCTGGATGTTGGAAAATCAGTCCTTAGACAGGTGCAAATACAGTGACATCACATTACTCACGGATCATTGGAAGTTTGAACACTTTTTCATTTCAAACTCTTTGAGGAGAAAAAAAACACGTGACAGGCAGAGTTGTAATTTGAATCCTTATCATTAATGATTCTTAGCAAGTTCTTATGATCTCTCTGGGCGAACTGATTACTCTGGCAGTTGAATGCGATATTTGTATGTTGTGTTTTTTTTTAATTTCTGTAAGAGACATTCAGCTCCTAAAGTAGAAAAGGAAAGGATGTATTATGGGATATCTTTATATCCAAGTGATGAATGGGTACGTGGAGTAAGGGAAGCTATTCTTATTTTTTTTTTTTTAAGTGGTTTACACTGTAGTATCCTTTGTACTTAACTGGATATGGAAATATTGTTCCTTATTTTTGGAAAGAAGAAACTCATTATGCGAGTTCTTGGCCCAAAGGAGAAAAAAAATGGCAACATAAGGATGCACAACATGGTAAATATATATATTCAAGTATACTTGGAAGCGCACACTTTCTGATGTATTGATAAGAGTTAAATGTTACATATATGAGAGGATTAACTGATGACGGGAATGTTCATGGTTGGCTAGTTGCTAGTTTTACCTGGTGTGCATATATTTGGGGTGTGTGTGTGTGTATTCTTTCATATATAAAATAATGTCCACAGTTTTAAATACAAAAAATAAATTCATATGTTAAATTTATATGATGGATCTGTATTTAAAGTTGTACTTTTAAAAAATATAAGAAAAGGACCTTAATATAGCCCATACTTGGCCTGTTTTTATTTCCACAGTGAATAACACTTATAATTTGCCATAATTAGCTCTCCTATGGTTTTCCTGGAGCTCAGGGTAGGACTCAGAATATAGAATGTGTCTGTGCATAGCACATCTTCAAGGGTACGCCGAGAAATACGCTTTTGAAAGTTGTCTACAAGTAAGAAAACTACATTGAAAAATGATGATGTCAGTGTTTTCCTCAATTTTGGCATCAACGTTTGCATGAATGGTTTTTGAAGTTTATGTATTTTGAGAGAGAGAGAGTAAGGGAGCAGGGGAGGGGCAGAGAGAGACAGAGAGTGAGAATCCTAAGCAGGTTCCACACTATCAGCTCAGAGCCCGATGCGGGGCTGGAACTCATGAACCATGAGCTCATGACCTGAGCTGAAACCACGAGTCGGATGTTTCACCGACCGGGCCACCCAAGCGCTCCCGCAGCTGCCTGAAGCTTTCAGAGATCTCCAATCTCTCATGCTGCTCGTGCATCCTTCCTGTTCCAGGCTGAACACCAGGGTCCTCACAAGGCCCACAGCTTTAAGACCCCAACCTGAGCCCTGGACGGTGGTGACAACACTGTGCATCACCACGCCATGACAGTAGGGGAAACAGAGTCACGGATAGACGGTAAAATAAAGGGGAGGGGATCTTCAGGGCTTTGTAGCCTGCCCTCTGAGGCTGTGCCCAGGGCCTGCAGACACGCCCGGCTCCGTCCGTGGAGTCAGCAGTGGGTGTCCACAGCACACCCTCCCAGCTGTGCTGGGAACAAAGACAAATGATAGCCCCCCCCCCCGCCGAAGTAGAACAGGCAAGCGCCTCCCCAAAATAGCCCACTGCAAACATCTTCTCCAAATTCCTTGAAAATGAGGACTGTATTTATAGAAAAACAGAACTGGCAGCAATAAACCCTGAAGATACCACTGAACGATGCTTTTATTTCCTCTTGACAGAAAATCAGAAGCTGTAGGGGGTTGGCCCTGGAAATCGACAACGTGCCAGAATATCCTTTGTGCTTCTAAGCTTTGCTTCACACCTAGGGCCTTGAGCGGCATGATATTTTTAAAAATTAAAAATGACAAAATGTTACTGAATATCTACCCATGCTGAAACTGTATCCACTCTGGGGGTATGACTGGGAGCAAAGCCAGACCTTGTCCATGACCTTGTGGCATGTATGGTGTAGTAGGGAGGGCAGGCCATCAAAAACATTAGAGTACAGGTGAGATCGCAACTGCGGTAAGGGCAGTGAAGGGGAGGTACTTACTTGGGAGAAGGAGAGGGAAATTTGACTCAGTCTGAGGGATCAAAGAAACCACCCTGAGGAAGAGAAATTTGAACTGAAATCTGGGAGACGAGTTAAGAATGTAGAAAATGAGCACCTGGGTGCTCAGTCGGTTAAGCATCCAACTTCCGCTCATGATCTCATGGCTCATTCTCATGGTTCATGAGTTTGAGCCCTGCATTGGGCTCTGGGCTGACCGCTCAGAGCCTGGAGCCTGCTTTAGATTCTGTGTCTCCCTCTCTCTCTGCCCCTTCCTCACACACACACACACACACTCACTCTCTCTCAAAAATGAATAAACGTTAAAAAAATTTTTTAAAAAGGAAAATGAGCACTTCAGGCAGTGAAACAGCCTGTGCAAAGGCCCTGTGGTAGAAGAAATAGAGATGAACGGGCTGGGAAAGCAAGAAAGACGAGTGGCAAGGGAATGGAGAGCTGGAAGTATGGTACCAGCTGAGGCTGGAGAGGTCACCAATGACTGGACCCTCACTGGGCCCTCCTCCTGCACAGCAAATTAGACAGTGGTGTGAGTGACTCCAGGAAGACCAGTTAGGCCATGTGCAGACAACAGTAACTTGGACTAATATTTGCAAGTAGAAGTGGATGGATTTGGGGGAGATGTTATAAGGCGCAAGTAACAGGACTTCATGACAAGTGGGATTTAGGAGGGAGAGAGAGATAAATGTCATGTTTGACATTCTAGCAGTGGTTTAGGGTGTATTAATAGTAGCCTTTCTTGAGATGAGTATTTTGGAAGAATAGCAGGTTCAAAGGAGTAAGGGGAGAGTGTGTGGGGGGTGCAGGATTCTGATGGCAGGTGTTGATTCTAATTGATT